CATGAGTGTGGGTGCCACAGAGGCCAGAAGAGGACAGTGGGTCTCCTGGAGCTGGAGTTGGGAGACGTTGGGAATTGAAGAGCAAGCAGCAGTCCTCTCCGCAGCCCCCATCTTTCCCAGTGAGGGTTGGAGGAGGACATTGAGGACCTCGAGCCAAGCTCTGAGCAGGAGGCAGAACCAGTCTTTGTCTGCCAGACTCGTGCGTGCGCGCGCGCGTGTGTGTGCGTGTGCGTGTGCGTGCGTGTGCGTGTGCGTGTGTGTGTGTGTGTGTGGCGGGTGTTCAGAGCTTGCAGGGAAGTGGGTTCTAGGAGGAGCTGCATGTGTTTGTCTGTGATTCAGCCCTGCAGAAGAGCCTCAGGAACCAGCATCGTGGATGTTTTCACTCAGCTGTCTAATGTCCACGTAAGTAGAGGCAGTCTTGTGTCTCATGGTTCCCACAGACGACTGTGACAAAAGGGTGACCTTAGATGGTTTCTCACCCCTTCTTTGCTCTCCAGCACACGGTTCTCAGGCCTCAGTGTCCTCCGTGGAGTTGGTATCCTGGCTAGGAGCGTGGCTCGTCTTTGTGTCGTTACTGCCTGGTGGTCTGAATCTGATGAGACGGGCCACTTAGGCATCCTTGTTCCTCTGCAGTGTGACCATGAACTTTCTATTTCATCAAAACTTGAATACCTAACGTTCTAGTAACTTTTTTCTGCCCTTTCCACAGACATGCGAAAAGAAGCACAGTCACCACTGACGACGTGAAGCTCTTAGCCAGGCGGAGTAATTCACTGGTGAGAGATGGATCTCTCTCCTCACTCCCCTTCCCTACCCGAATACATTATTCCCAATTAATCACTTGAAGGCGTGTAGTTATTCTCCAGGGCACCTTGCATTAAAAACTAGAGATGGTTGAACCATTCAGACCTGCCTGTAATTTATAGTCCTCCTTTCATTATGATAGATCTTGCAAAGCCAATTTGAAATTTTCTAATCAGCTCTCTCTGGATTCCATAATTTACCTTTTTTGTAATATCTCAAAACGTTGGTCCCATGTTTCATTTACAGCATGATGTCACAGACTAGTTATGGGTTAGTCTGTGGGGATGGTCTTGTGGTACCCACCCCGCCCCCACCTCATGCTAGGGATGGAAAGTAGGGTCTTGTGCATGCCAGAGGGGCGCTGCACCTCTGCACTGTGGGGCCTGCCTCCTTTTTTGCTGTTGTTTTTAAAGTTTACTCTTTTATTTTCTGTGTATGATTGTTTGGCCTGCATGTATGCGTATCTACCATGTGCATGCCTGGTGCCCTTAGAGGTCAGAAGAGGGTCTCAGATACCCTGGAACTGGAGTTAACAGGTGGTTGTGAGCCACCATGTGGGTGCTGGGAATCAAAACTGGGTCATGGCGAACTTGGTCCTTGTTACCTTGAGAGTAACAAGTGCTGTTAACCACGGAGCCATCTCTCCAGCCCCATTTCTTATTCTGAGACAAAACAAGGGTCATGCTAAATATGCAGGCTAGTCTTGAACTTGACTTTTAGCCTAGGTAGGCTCTGAACATGAGACCCTCCTCCTGTGTCAGCCTACATCCCAGTAGCCTAGATTACAGGTGTGCCCCCCAGGCCCAGCCATACCCGCAGTTCTGATGGGCCAGGGATGGATGGATGGAAGCCTGAAAGGTTGGTTATGCAGAAGAGAGCATAATTTCTGTTTTTTCACATCGAAGAAATCATTTTGACCAAGCTATAATTTGCTAGGTGAAGACACTTGGCACTTAAAGGTGCCAGGGTCACCTGGCTGTGGCTGATGGCAGACCTAGAATATTGTGACCCTTCCAGGACTCAGACTTTCTATGATGTCCTTTCCACAAGAGCAGGGATTTGACTCTGAACTGTCTCCATCTCCATTTTAGGGCAGTTTTACTGCTAATAAATAGTTCAGTCAGTGAATTTCCACCCAGTTCTTTTGGAATATTGGAGAAGGCATAAGTTATTGTGGTTATTTTTAGGTTTATAAAATAGTTTATAGACAGATTTAAAGACTTAAATATATTTTGCTTTTTTTGTATATACATAGCTAAAATACATCACAGAGAAAAATGAAGAGATTGCTCAGCTTAACCTAGAGCGAAAGGCCAAGAAGAAAAGGAAGCCAGAGGATGAAAACAGGAACTCCAGGGAGCCTGATGCTGAAGTGGTGAGCAGTGAGAGCTGAGGCCTGGCCACTTGGGACCTGCAGCCTCCAGGGAAGTGAGGATCCTGGCCAAGGGCGGTCGGAGGGATCAGTAGAGACGTTTGAAGAGACAAGTGGCTGGGCAGCTCCATGCCGCCTGCTTCAGGACATTTGATGCAGCCCACAAGAGCCAGAAGCTCCTGCAGAGCATCTCCATGCTCTCCTCGGCAGGGGAAAGGCTGGCGTTTGGATGGCACACTATGACCTAGTGGCTGAGGTTGATGACGTGTGTTCGCAATTAGACGTGCTGGGTGTTTGGGGATAAGTGTAGTCCTTCACTGTTTATTTTCTAGGCCAGATGACAGTCTCTGAACAGTGAATAAAGCTATGTTTACTTAGCTCTGGTTACTGAGGTTCTTTCAGACCCGTGGCCCCTTGATCATCAGTGAAAGACGTGTTTAGGGATGGAGTTTCTTTCTTTTGAAGAGTTATTTATTATGTATACAGTCTTCTGCCTGCATGCATCCCTGCAGGCCAGAAGAGGGCGCCAGATCTCATTGTAGATGGTTGTGAGCCACCATGTGGTTTCTGGGAATTGAACTCAGGACCTCTAGTAGAGCAGCCAGTGCTCTTAACCTCTCTCCAGCCCCAGGAATGGAGTTTCTTACTCTTTAACAGTGGTTTTCTTCAGATATACAGTTTTGTGTGGCTTTTCTAGCAATTTTGTAACTGAGCCTTGGCTTTCCTGAACAGAAGTGTGCTTGAGGGGGAGAATCTGGAGCTTCAGTGTGAAACGCTTGTGGTACTGAGAGCTGGTGTCCCAGGGCTGCATAGACGTTCAGGGCCTGCTCTTCCTTACAGAGTGGTAGGGGACAGGGTGGCCTGGGGCCAGCAAGATACCTCAGTGGGTAAGTCGTTGGCCAAGCACGATGACCTGAGTTTAGTCTCATGCTGGAAGAGAAACTGACTCCCAGAAGTTGAGAAGGGACGTGATCTTTCAGAAGGAGCCGTCTGTTCTTCAGTTTGTTAGGCATGAGCCTTCCTTGGATCTTGGTTATTGGGTTATTGTTGGAAGTTTTTGCTCTTTTCTGGGGGGCCGCCACCCAGCTCCCAAATAAATCACACACGGAGACTTATTCTTACTTACGAATGCCCGGCCTTAGCTTGGCTTAGTGTCTAGCCAGCTTTTCTATACTTTAAAGTAAACCATCTGTCTGTTGCCTCTGGGCTTTTCTCTTCCTATTCCTGTATACTTTTCTTTGTTTCTTACTCTGTGGCTTGCTGTGTAGCTGGGTGGCTGGCCCCTGGAGTCCTCCTCCTGCTTTGCCTCCTAGATCTTAGATTTCTCCTCCCAATTTTCTCCCTCTGTATATTCTCTCTGCCTGCCAGCCTCGCCTATCCTTTCTCCTGCCTCACTATTGGCCAGTTCTTTATTAGTAGACTATCAGGTGTTTTAGACAGGCACAGTAACACAGCTTCACAGAGTTAAATATTAACGCAACATAAACAAAAGTAACATGTTTTAAAATATTCTGCTACACTTGGGGGTCTCTAGTGGTCTGAGATGGGTTTTTAGGTCTGTCTGGCTATGAGGGGTTTGTGCATTTGTCCCCACAATTCTGAACTGGGGACCCGTGAGGAGCTGGGAGGTGGCCTAGCACTTCGTCACTGTCTTTGGGAAGAGGCGGTCTCTCAGTTGGCCAAGTACAGGTTTCTCGGATAGTGACTGTAAACTGCACCAGAAAGGCACCTTACACTTGGTACATCTCTAGCCACACACAGTCTTAATTTAAAAAAGGTGTCTGACTGGGGGAGGGGCATGAGTGTGCTACAGCATGAGGGTGCAGGTCAGCAGACAGGTTTGTTAAAGAAGCAGCAGCGTGTTCTTGCCTTTCACCGATATGTGGGTTCTAGGGATAGAGCTCAGGTTATCTGGTTTGTATATTAAGTGCTTTACCCATTGAGCCATCTTGCTGATCCCATAAACATTGTGATTCTGTTATGTAGCCCTGGCTGTCCTGGATTTCACTACGTAGACCAGGCTAGTCTTTTTTTTTTTTAAAGATTTATTTATTTATTACGTATACAGTGTTCTGCCTGCACACCAGAAGAGGGCACCAGATCTCATTACAAATGGTTGTGAGCCACCATGTGGTTGCTGGGAATTGAACTCAGGACCTCCGGAAGAGCAGCCAGTGCTCTTAATCTCTGAGCCATCTCTCTAGCCCCCCAGGCTAGTCTTGAACTCACAGAATTCCACCTACCTCTGCCTCCCAAGTGTTGGCCATTTCCTTTTTGGATCAAAATAATAAGCACCACCAATCTTAGAATAAGGTATATATTTCTAAGCGCTGGGATTAAAGGTATGTGTCAACATGTATGGTCCTTAATTTTTTAAAAAAATATTACCTTTATCATGCGTGTATGTGTGTGGGCACACACATATGCTATGATATGCATACTTATATGACAGTTTGAGAGAGTCAGTTCTCTCCCACCATGCTGGTTACAGGGGATTGACAGGTCATCGGGCTTGGTGACAGACTCAGCTGCTGAACCTGGCCTCATTTTTAAAAATGTGCCGTTTGCTAACATGAGAAGTTTGGAAAGCCTTAGACCAGGAACTATGCTAGACGTGCAAAAGTCAGTGCTCCGTGTCACCAGGATGCTGTCTTCTGCATCTGCATCAGCATCTGCATCACCATCAGCATCAGCATCTGTACTTCAGTGAGGTGTGAAGGTCTGGCTGAAGAAGCAGGGTTTGGCCTGGGCAGAGGGTAGTGGGCAGTGCTGGACACGCTCTGGGCTCGTCCTTGTGATTTGTGAAACATTGGTGCTGTCCTGTGGCCCTGAGTCTTCACTGCACCTAGTTTCTTTGTCCATAGCAGATTCAGACGTACTGGATTTTTGGTGCTGGGGACAGAACCCAGAGCCTCACACATGACAGGAACGTGCTCTGCTGAGCTGCATCCCAGCCCTCAGCCTTGCTTTCATGTGGGTAAGATCCCACACTTTGGGCTCTTTACCCAAGCCTAATTTCCTATTCTGTTAAATCGCTTGTCTTTGTTCTCATGGCTTCCTGCTTGCTCTAGGCACAGTTGCAAGGAAGCAGAACTTGCTCACAGCGAGTGCGCACGTGTTCTAAAATAAGAGCAGATTCACTCTCAGCACAGGAAAAGTCCTGAGTCTTTAATTAAGGGGCTAAATCCAACCTCACAAATGTTTGTGTGAGAACTGATTGCTCCGGCTTGTGCGTCACTGAGCGAGTGTGGAGAAGCGTGCAAGTTTTCAATGGACGTGTGCAGACCCCAGAACAGCTGGCGCTGCAGCTTAAATACCAAGGCTCCAAAGAAAGCCCCTCATCCACAGAGCACCGACTTGAGGACCGCCAAAGAGGATGGGTGGCTGCAGTGCCAGAGGCAAGTGGCTGTCAGCCTTCGGGCTGCTGCTGCTGCTCTGGGGGGCTGCAGCCACTGCGCTTCCCCTGGAGAGGGGTCCCCCTGGCCAGGACAGTGTGGTGAGGACAGTCCCTGCTCTTGCACAGGTAGGCTGCTGTTTGTCTCTCTTCCTGGCATTCTGACCACCCAGTGAATTCCTTGGTGTGTGTGTGTGTGTGTGTGTGTCTGTGCATGTGCGCACATGAGTGTGCCACCCCAGGATGCTCCAGTGTCCCATTCAGACCACTGGTCTTCCCTTTGCCCTCACTGTCCTAGCCTGTGTCTGTTCAGGGGCTCCTTCCTCTCTCTGCGGTGTCTGCTTTGGCGACTTCTGGATGTCACAGTGCGTTTGTAGTCCATCCCCTGCCAGTATTGGTCGCACAGACTCCGAGAGCCTTAATTCATATACACAGCCATGCTCTCACCCGCTCACATTAACCGTGGTGTAAATTTACAATTTCATCCAATGATTTACTTTCTCTTTTTCTCAATTTTGAAAAAGTTCCAAGAAAGAGTACATAAAGTTGACCATTAGAAACGGATTTTTCTCTGAAATTACCAGATGAGTTTCAGGTGGGTCATTTATCATCACAGTATTCCTAGAAGCTTCCCAAAGAGTTTGAAAGACCAGACTTTAGCATCTCAGTCTGTTCGGGTTTCTGAACACTCAGAAGGATGTCTGAAGATGGAAACCAGTTAGATGAGCCTGTCTGCCCAGGGCGTCTGAGCTGTCAGTCACTTGAGCAGATTTCCTTGTCTCATAGCTAAGGACCTCAGCAAAGATGGTAAGGTAGAGGTAGCAATTCACTGATCTATATTTTGAGACAAGGTTTCACTCTAGCCCTGGCTAGTCCCAGACTCACAGTAATCCACTTGCCTTTGCTCACAGTGCTGCAAAATGAGCAGCTCTTTTTCATTTGTCTGTTGCCCCTCTGCAGGGCAGTTTCTCCAAGATTCTTCAGACTCAGCTGAGGGAGATGTGTTTGTTAAGGAGCAGCTTGCTTTCTGGGAGCGGGGAGGGAGGGCGAGCATCTAGTGCTGAGTGAGTCCAGGCCTGCTTTACTCCCCTTGTCCTTCCTTCTCTGGAAACACACAGGAAGCTGCAGAAGGGAAGAGGAACGGCCTCCTGACTTTCCTTGCCTGGTGGCATGGTTGGACCTCCCAAGCCAGCTCCAGCGCCCTCCTCGGAGGGGATGCCAGCGAAGTGTCTGAGTGGCAGGAAAGCCCACCTCTCCAGCAGCCCCCACGCCGGGATAAAAAGCCTTGCAAGAATTTCTTCTGGAAAACCTTCTCCTCTTGCAAGTAACCTCACCCTGGCCAAGCCACCCTGTGAAATGCAACCAGTCTGAATAAAGGATGTCAGGCAACATGGAGCTTTCTCCTTAATTGAGCTTTTCTTCCACGCCATGTGAAAATTATTAAATTTTAGTAATGGCCACTACCCATATAGGTGAAGTAAGGAACTGGAAATCTAAAGAGAATCCTCTAAAAAAAATTTTGGTGGTGCTTGCCAGAGTGTTTCTAACAGGACCATTGGGTTTCCATCCTGGTCCTGGGAGGTGAGAGCTTGTCTTGGCTCACTTGAAAACAGCTAAAAGCCATGTGTGTGTGTCTGTGTGTGTACACAACATAATGTTTTTGACAAGGTCTGTGTAAGCTCAGGCTAGCTTTAAACTTCTTATGTAGCCAAGAATGACCTTGAAATGATCTTCCTGCCTCTACCTCTCAAGTGCTGGGATTATGCCCAGCTCAAGGCTGCATATTTAAGAGTTCAAAACAGCATCTTCAGTTTATTTTGGGCTTTTGGAGATCGGGTCTTACATATAGCCACTTGGCCTTGAACTCACAACCTGTCTTCATTTCTTGAGTGCTGGGATTAGTGTGCGCTATTACAGCCAGCTGTATTCCAGTCTGTTTTTAATGTGATGTCTCTCCAGGCCTGAGGCTGAAACTCAGCAGAGTGCTTGCCTGGCAGCCACAGGGCCCTCCCTGCATTTGATCCTCAGCACTGTGAACTTCGCAAGCAAGTTAGCAACGCTGCTCGAGGAGCACAGTGATTAGTCCTCATATTTTAGCTAAAATTAATTTTAAAATTAATGTTATGCTATTAAGCCGACACCATGCTGACATGCTTATAAAAGTTATATTCAAATTCGTTATACAGCAGTTTTAATTAGAAATATTAATTTGTTACATTCCTTTTCCCTGATTGTAGCTTCAGTTTTACTTTGTGAAGAAAGACTAAGAAAAGCATCACTGAGCAGCGCTGCTTCCACCCAGCCTGTAGCCGCTCCACTTTGCTTCTGGAGATGGGGTCACTGTTTAGCCTTGGCTGGCCTGCCACTTGGTACGAGGACCAGGCTGGCCTCCAATTCACATTGATCCACTTATTTCTGAGTCTCATATGCTGGGACTTGGGGTATGTACCACTATGCCTGGCTTGTCTTGACTTCTGAGACAGTTACCCCCCAAATCCAGTATCCATAATAAATGGGAAAGGGAAAAAGGACTGCTTCTAGGTACGGTGGAGGAGAAAGTTTATTGTATGTGAAAGTGAGAGCAGAGCCAGAGGCAGAGACATCTGGGCGAGTCCAGAGTGGACATGAGCTGGGCCATGTGGGGAGATGGGGGGGAAGGGCGGGTAGCCAAAATGTCTGGATTATAAAGGAAGAGTCTCTGGGGAAGGGCAGCCCAGTTTCTGGGCTGGAGAGTGCAGGGTAGAGGGCAGGTGTGCCAGCCATACCCTGTAACAGGTAGGGACTGAGGGATTCTGAGAGAACCTGGCAGCCAGATCTGCTCTGATGTGTTAAATAGGCACCTCAGCTGTTTGTCCTGGGCCTGAAACTTAACACATATTTGTCCAGTGAAATACTTTATGCACAATCGCCACAATAGCTTTTCATTTTCATTTCCAGTGAATAACGGTTAGATGAAAGACAATTCTGTTTTCTGTGATATAAAACCGAGCAACCACTGAGCCCCTAGCTGAGCAAGATTTTGGTCTTCCCCAAGGAAGCTGGGGGCAAATTGCTCTTTCCAAATTTAGCATGTTTTAATTCTCCCCATAGCACTGAAATCCTTTCTGGTTGCTCACACTTTTAACTGCTGAGCCAAACAAGAGAAACTCCAAGCGCAAGGTTCTAGATGCTGGGCTTTTGTCACAGCGTGCATGTGGCGTCAGGACGACTGCACACAGCTGCTCCCCGGGCCACCATGTTGGCTCCAGGGAGGAAACTAGGGTCATCAGGCTTGGGATGCGTCGCCTTTCCTCACAGAGTCATCTTGCAGACTACCAAGGAGGGCCATGGCAGGTTGGGTGTGGGGGTTTAGGGCTGTGATCACAGCCTTCCCCTCGGGAGGTTGAGACAAGAGGATTGCTGTGAGTTCAGGAACAGCCTGGGCTGCAGTTCAGAGTGTAACCCTGACTTAACTTCTTCAAAAGACTCTGGCAATGAGCTGAGGGCCACTGCAGTGGGTAGATCTTTCGGTGTGTGGAGAGAGACTGGGACTCAGTTCCCTAGGTGCTAAACTCAGAGCTTACACATCTACATTTAGAATTACATAAGTTTGGGCCTGAAATGGGGAAAGGCCCAATGCTGGCTGGAGATGCCCGAGTTTCATCCTCTTCTTTGGACGCCAGGGGCAACTCCAGCTGTGACTGCTGACTTGGCTCTGTGGTCCTCAGAGCTGAGCTCGGCCATAATCACTAGCTGAGGACAGCAACGTGATGGGAGAGGCAGCTGCATCTGCATCTGCACAGCAGCCTTGCACCCCAGTGCTGGGGTCTGTGCTGCTGGGAGATATCTGACTGAAAGGCCAGGTAGTCTCCAGAAACTGCTCTTTGATGTTTCTTCTAGAGCAAGGGTGCACTAGTGTTTTAAATTCACCTGGAGTCTTCTCTACCCCGTCCTTAAGGCTGTGGACTTCACCTTAACTAGGTCCCATTGGAGAACAATAAGGCTAATGATCCTGCTGGGCAGTCTGTTAGTCCAAGCTGCCTAAGTTCTGGGGACTTCGTTAGTTGGCATCAGCTGTGTGTTAGACTGTGTGGTAGTTTGTATTTGGCCCCCATAAACTCAGGGAGTGGCACTATTAGGAAGTGTGGCTTTGTTGGAGTGTGTATGGCCTTGTTGGATGAAGTGTGTCACTGTGGGGGCGGGCTTTGAGGCCTCCTATGTTCGGGATACTGTCCATTGTCTCAGTTGACTTCCTGTTGCCTGCAAGATGCAGGACTCTCAGCTGCTCCAGCACCATGTCTGCCTGCATGCCGCCATGGTAATGGACTGAACCTCTGAAACCGTAAGTGAGCCACCCCAATTAAATGTTTTCCTTTATAAGAGTTACTATGGTTATGGTCTCTTCACAGCAATAGAAACCCTAACTAAGACAGGATGGATTAATGTTTGTGATTAATAAGGTAGGGGATAAGTAAGTACTTGCACTCATGTGGACCTGAGTTTGGATCCCTGGCACCTATGTAAAAAAGCCAGAAGTAGTATACACTTGTGACCTGCCCCCAGTGTTGGGGTCAGAGGCAGACCTTGGGAGTTCAATGACTAGCTAATGTGGCTGAAATGGCCAGCTTAAGGTTCAGTGAGAGACTGTCTCAAATGAGTTTGGCCTCTTCATGTACCCACATGAGTTGCTACACCTGGCCCCGCCCCCCCCCCACATATATACTACACACACACACAAATGAAGAAAAAAGAAAAACCATGAAGGGTAAACAGGTAATTTCCTGCATCAGGATTTGAGCATACTTTCTTAGAGCACACTTCTTCCTGGCTATCTTGGAAATCATTATGTAGACCAGGCTGGCCTCAAGCTCGAAGAGATCCTTCTGCCTCTGCCTTCTGAGTGCTGGGATTAAAGGCGTGTGCCACCACACCAGCTTAGAGCGTACCTTTCCATAGCTGGTATATGTCAACAAGACCTGGACAACTTGGATTCATCCATTCAGATTCTGGTGTCTGGCATCAGCTTTTTGAGAAAGAATTGAATGTAACAGTCCATAAATCCCTCCATGGTTTGTATTGGGGTAACAGCAGAGGATGACAGGCTTTGGAGCCTTGGACCAGTAAACTCAAGGGACACACTTCAACAACTTGCTATAAGCAGTGCCTGCCGATGGCACATTTCACATCTTAATCTGGCTTCAGGGAGGGATGGCTTCCATGGGAACAAACGAAGAAAGCAAGCATCTAGTTATGCAGGAGAAGGAACACCCTCTTTCTAGATGGAGAAGGAGGAAGCAGGAGCAGCCAAGCGGCCCATTATAACTTCTTCGTATTTGAGCACCTTCGGTCACTGTGGTGGTCTGAAGATGTCCCCTGTAAGTCTCACCATCTGAATACTTGGTCCCCAGCTGGTGGGTGTTTGGAGAGGGTTAGGAGGAAGTATGTCATTTGGGAGGGGTGATGTTTCAAAGGACTCTTTCTGTTTTGTGGTTCAAGACGTGTGGGCGCTCTCACTTGTCCCTGTGGCCATGTCTTTGCTGTCATTGTGGACTCTTAGCCACCTGGAACTGTAAATCCAATTAAGCTTTTTTTTTACATTTATTTTATGTATGGGTGTTTCGCCTGCACATGTGTCTATGCACCACGTGTCTGGCTGAGGCCAGAAGACGAAACACATAGCTGTGGAACTGGAGTGACAGACACGTGCGGACCACCATGTGGTGCTGGGAATCCAACCCAATCCTCTCTAAGAACCAGGGCTCTTAACTGCTGAGTCATCTTTCCAGCCCCTAAACTCCTCTCATACACTGCCTTAGTCATGGTAAAGTAACCGAGACAGTCACCGGGCTGACCTTGAGCTCACCATGTAGTGAGCGTCTGGCTTTCCTGCCTTTGTCTCCTGATGCTAAAATTGCAGGTGTGCTTCACCATACCCAGTTTATGTGGAGCTTTGTGCATGCTAGGCAAGCACTCTTATCGGCTAAGCCACCTCCCCCAAGCCCCTGCAACTTTTTATAAGGCTAACAAGGACAGTAGTTTGATCTA